CCTGGGGGAATAGGGGGGTGGTATGGGGCAGTATGGGGTGTGTGCATGGGGCTGGGGTACGTGCATCATGACTATAGGGCTGGGGTACGTGCATCGGGGCAGTGTGGGGTATGTACATCATGGCTGTAGGGCTGGGGTATGTGCATCATGGCTATAGGGCTGGGGTACGTGCGTGGGGCACACTATGTGGCTGGGGCACATGCACAGAGGAGCAATATAGGGCTGGAGCGGGTGCATTTGGCTGGGGGGGTGTAGGCATGGCGGCACGGTGCAGGGTAGGGTGGAAGCAGAGCATGTGCAGGGGGGCTGTATAGTGTGAGTATATGCTATATATGCTATAGCACGTACAGAGGGATACAGGGGCGTGGGCAGAAGTTTCCTGCCTCCCTGGTTAATCCTGCTGGCTCAGGCAGCCCTGGCTCCCTGTGCATAGAGTCATTCCTGTGTGTAAGGCTCTGCCCTGCTAATTCTGGTTTAAGATCCTGACGCTAATCCTGGCTGTGCTATCCGATCACCCCCTGGGTCCTCTGCCTTGTTTCTTCGTCAGCTGTTTCCTCTAATTCCCTGTCCCTCCTGCACCGAGACTCTGCTCATTTTCTGACTGTTCCTCTCTTTTCTTTATTAGTTATGATACTTGTAGAACTTTTTTCTTGCCCATTGGCATTTAGCAGCGCTGGCTCTCCTTGACGATAAATACTTTGCGGGGGGAGGGAGGCTTTTCCTTAAAGCCCCGACTTTCAGACCTGATTATATGACCCTGCCATTGTTTTAACAACACGGTTTTATTATTGCAAGGGCAGAAGCTTGAATGGCCCAAAACCTGCGAAGAAATTAAAATAAAGCATCCCTGTATTTTGTCTGGTGAACCTGCTAATTAAATATCCATCGCATCATCTTCCCAGTATTCTTGGAGTTTGTGCTCACAAATAAACTGCCTGTGGCCATGCGCGCTTTTAATTTAGCATCGCCATTCCCAAATAATCCCTTCATCTTCTAATAGATCTGCTTATTCCCTTTCCCCTCCTGCAGCACGGGGCTGGGGAGGAGGAGCCTGGTCCCCTCCCAGCTCTCCCCAACCGACGCCATGGCAGATTTCCCTGCTGACCCTGAGTTCCCAGCAACAACCAGACACTCTGAGATGACGCCAGTTTACTTCATCCCCATATACAGATGCTACTAATTTTGCTTCTTCCCCCCCCTTTTTTTTTTTAGATGATTTGGGCTGAAAACAAGAGACTGAGCAAGGCAACGGATGCGGTGGAGAAAAGGGGGCCATATATCATGAGCAAGCCTCCCTCCGTTCATGCCAAGCTGCGTAAGTGATGCTCAGTGTCACCCCAGGGACTCTGCTGGGATGTGGGGAGCCATCTGCACCTCTCGCCCAGGGTGGGAGTGACTGAAAGCCTTTTTATTCCTTGGTGGGATAAAACCATAAAAAAACCCCCAAACATAAAAACCCATAGGCACTGCCTATGGAAAGCACTGCAATGCCCTTGTGCTCTCCCTAGGACCCCCCTGCAATGTGTCCCCCCCCAGAAAAAAGCCTCTTGGGGGAATCCTTGGGTATTTTTATCTCTGCCCTTGTGCTTGGCTTTCAGAGAGGCAGGGGGAGCTGGCAAAGGCAGCGCTGCGAAGGCAGGGGCTGCTGGGGGGACCCGCACCGCACCAGCTGAAGCCGGCGGCTAAAAGGTCTGACCCCATTTTTGGTTGGGTTTCTTTTGTTTTTTCTTTTCCCAAGATGTATTTTTCACATTCCTTGGGGAGACTGGGAAACTCAGCGGATTAAAATATGAGTTCGGGACTTGCGCCTGCTGGCTCTGTTGTGGCTGGCAAGCGTCCGATATAATAAAAGAGAGCACTTTTCCTGCAAAAGTTGCTCTAGCAGGGGCCGTGCTCCTCCCTGTCTTTGTTTTGGGGACAGTTTGGTGTTAAGGATGTAATCAGGTAGCCTAGAGCTTAGATGGAGTTTATTCTTAGCTGGTGGTGGCCCTGGACAGAGCCAGGCTGGGAAGGGACACTCAGGACCAGGAGTCCTGCCCTGGTTCCTCAGTCCCTCAGCTCCGTGCCTGCAGTCCCACACCAAAATGTCTTACAGACTCGTTCCTCTGCTTTCCAGCAGGTCGGTGAAATTTAACAAGGGCTACATGGCACTCAGCCAGACAGCGGATGAAAACCTGGTCTCCCTTGATTCGGACAGGTGGGGATTGGGTGAATTATCCCAGAATTTTTTGGGGGGAGAGGGGTGTTGCAGGCTGAGAGCTGGTTTTGGCGGGGGGAATTGATTTTCCTTGTCACTTGTAGAGCATCCCCGATTGCACCAGGCACTTCTCAGCAGTGAAACATTCCTGTTGTCCCAAATCATTTAAGAAATCCCTTGGGGTTACTCTGCCGGCTCCCTTTCCCCCTTGCCACCAAGATTCCCTTGGCTGTATCCCAAGCAAAGATGCCACTTCCCAGCTGCCTCTGACCGTTTCCTTCTTCTCTTAGTGACAGGGAGCTGGGATCCAGATGTTCCTCAGGCTACTCCTCTGCCGAGGCAAGTCCCGGGGTTTGACCCCAATGGCGCGGTCCCTGCGGATTCCCTTGCCCCCATTACACCTTGGGGTCTGTATAGGGGCTGAAATGAAGCATCACCCTACAGGGTGTGCATGCGTGTGTCCATCCCGCAGCACCCTCTGCTTTGCAAACTGCTGCCTCTCCTGCCCCATACGTTTAAGCCATGCATAAATCCCCCTTTTGCCAGCCCCAGGGGGCAGCTGAAGAGCTCCATCATACGAAGGTGTTGCAGCCTGCAGGGTGTTTTGGGGTTCATGGGGTGTGCATTGGGGTGCCGTAGCCCAAAAGAAGCTCTTTGGTCTTTTGCTTTCGTCTGCTCTGCTCTGGTTGTGCTGCTTCTGCCCATGCAAAGGCACTGGAGGGAGGAGGTGATGCCCTTCTTGCTCATAGCCCTACCCTTTGCAAGCCCCAGGACCTAGATTTTAACTAAACTGGGACTAATTTTAGCCAGCTGTGCCTCCTTTGTTTCCCCCCCAGCAGGTGAACCAGGACCTGAGCCGGCAGCTGCTGCAGGATGGGTACCACCTTGACGAGGTCCCCGATGATGAAGATCTGGATCTCATCCCCCCAAAACCCATCGCCTCCTCTTCTTTCCCCTGTTGTTTTGGAGAAAATCTCTCCTGCGTGATCCAGTAGACGCTGCTTAGCCGGGGCCATGCAAGAACAGGTCAAAAGCCAGCACTTTCTTTGTCCCATGGGATGGCTGTTGGTGTCAGTGTCCCATGCTGGGATGGTGACACAAGGACTGAATGATGCTGCAATGCCGCTTGTGGAGAGCGGCAGCAGCCAGCCAACCCCAAAGACTTTTCCTTACGCTCACGCTCAGTGATACTGGGGAGAAGTGGCATGGTGATGTTTAGGTGGCTGGATGGGGCCTGTTGCCTGGCCGGGGTGGGGAGGGAGGAGAGGCAGAGCCGGGGCACCTCCATGGGGGTATAAAGGGAAGGAATTGGGACGCGCAGCAGCTCTTCGGTTTGCCCGACCTCCTCTTTTCCTCTTTTAATTTGCCATGTTGAGGATTAGGAGCTGGCCCTGGCCCTGGCCCCAGCCCTCCCTAATGAAGAGGCGGTCGATGGTGGGGTCGAATTGCAATGGCGTGGGACTGGACCAGGAAGCCCCAAGACCCCTTTTCTATTTATTTTTGCTTTAGTCACCCCTCCTCCCCAGCAGGCTGAGGCCAAGCCAGCGAGGTTGGGGTTGGCTGCCAGAGAACTGCTTCATTTACCTATCTCGTGCTGCTTGCAATTAATTGCTGCCGGGTTGCCTCCTCCCAAAGCCTGGGCTGACCTGAACCAAAGATTGCTGCTCTGGCGGAGAAGATAAGATGGGGAGAAACCCAATGGAGCAGCTTGGGGCAGGCTGCTGAGCTTTAGGCATCCGCATTTGTTATATCCACCAGCAGCTACCACTCAGGATGGGACCTCCCCGCTTTCCGCCTCTCGAGGGACGCGTTCAAGTCCATGGGTTCTGGGTTCAGAGCTGATGGCTTGTTCCAGTTCTCCCCAAAGCCGCTTTGACACGGGCGAGGGGCGGCACAGAGCCCCTGTGCCAGCTCTGCGCACGTCCCTTGGGGTGCAGATTTGGGGGGGGCTGGGGAGTCTACCCCCTGTGAACCTTAAAAGCTGCCTTAAGTCATGGTCCTGCTGTACTAGAGGACAATCAGCATCTCATAAAGAAACCTTATTTAAATATTTGATGTCTAGAGACCTGAACTGTTGTTTGTGGTTTTGTTTTGGGGTTTTTTTTGTATTTTCCTTGTTGAAGGGAGCACTCAATAAACTGGATCTCATTACTTGGAGTGTGTATTGGTGCTGTGGGAGGGGGGGCTGAGCCCTGCTCCCCCCCCAGCAGCCCTGCTCAGGGCTGGGGGGATGACTCCTTCCCTCCATCTCTGGTCCCCAAGCCCTGCAAACACCATAGCTTCTCCCCCTCCTCCTCCTGCTCCCTCCAACACGCTGAGGACAAAGTCACCACTTTATTCACAGCACAGGAGGCTCTCTGGCTCCATCACCCTTGCCCAGCAGCCCCCTTTTCACAGCTCAGAGGACTGCCTGCCCTCGGCCAGGCATGGGAAGAGCCCACCAGGCACCCAGGAGCAGCAGAAAGCCTCAGCATCACATTCGCAGGAGGGAGCAGCAGCTCCTAGAAGCCAGGCAGAGATGCTTGAGACCTGGGGTGCAGACCTCAGGCCTCCCTGCTGCTGCTTCTTGGCTAGAAGGAAAGGGGGGGGGGAACAAAAAATAATAAAAGGAGCACCCAGAGGGGATGATGCTATGGGGATGTGGCTAACAAACTGCGAGTGGAGATGCTCTTCCTCTGCCCACTCTGCTCCGTGCCACATCCAAGGAGTCTTATTAGTGGAGCTGCTCTCTATACATTGGGGGCAGGCTGTTTTGGGGGGTTTAATAGGTGGAGGGGAAACTTCCAAGCGAGACGGCTTTGCCCAGGCCAGTTTCTATCTACTCAAATGTGGAGTGGTGAGGGAAGGTGTCCGGGTCCCGCTCAGAGGAGGCAGCGGGCGCGGAAGAGCAGCATCCCATCCGGTGAGGAGAGGTGGAGGGAGATGCTCTCGTTGGCAGAGATGAAGAGCACAGAGCCGCGACGCAGAGTCATTTCGGAGGCTGCGGCTGTGGAGGTGCCCACGGCCGTCCCTTGGATCACCAGCAAGATGCTGGCAGAGTCCACCGCGGAGACAAGGTACAGCTTGATGGAGGCGGGGATCTGCAATGGAAAGGGTCACCGTGGCATGAGTCCCTCGCCAATTCTCTTCTCTTTGGAGAGCTGGAAGGGGGTCATCCCTGTTCCCACCCTGCAGCCACCTTTGCTGTGCCCAGATCACTCCGTGTCACCTGCGGCAGCGCAAACCCAGGAGCCTCAGCCTAGCTGAGGACACCCAGGCTGCACCCCCGAGACCTCTCCCTGGTTCTCCCTCTGCCTGGAGCTGCTGGAGAAGGTGAGCGAGCTCTAGGCAGGGGGAACAGGGGAGGGAGAGGAGCTGCCAGTGCTGCCTGGGGATGCCACAAGCATCCCCAGCACCCCCAAGCATCCCTCCACCCTCCCTGGAGCACAAGCTACAAGGGCAAGCAAACCCATGCCAGGAAAACCCCAGCCAACACCGAGACGTCCTACCAAGAGCACAGGAGAAAGCTGGTGTCCCCCCGGCTCCATGTCCCCAAAGCGGACCCATGGCTGCTCACCTCTATCCTCATTATGGCGAAGTCTGGCACAGGCGGGTCATAGAGGTAGACGCTGGGGTCGAGCTGGCTCTGCGCGGCCGGGAAGATCTTGGAGCTGCTGGGCGCCGGCGTGTAGTTGAGCATCTCGCACAAGGTGAGGACGTCGATGAATTTGGGGGTGAGCCCGGCGCGTACCGTGTTATCTGAGCATGCCATGCACTCCACGCAGTCTGCAGGGCCGAGGCAGCTGCTGTCAGCCCATCCCAGCCCTCCCACACATCCCAGGGCAGGGGGGGTCCGACCTTGTGCAGAAGACCCTGGCCACCCTGGGGGACAGTCCCTGTGGGGGCCCAGGTTGGGAAAGCCCACCGCGATGCTCACCTCCGTGCAGGTAGGCGTGGGGCTCGTTGGCTCCCAGGAACATGGCCTCCCCCGGCTCCAGCCTCACCAGGTTGAGGAAATAAATGGTGAAGCAGCCGATGTCCCCCGGGTACTGGGAGTGCAGCCGCAGCAGCAGGTCCCCGTTGCTCCCTGACGTGTCCTTCCCCTCTGCCGCTGCATGGGCAGAGACCAGGCAGGATGCTGGGGAGGGGGCTGGCAGGGTGCCCCGTCCCCTCCCCTAAACACAGGTCCCCTCAAAACCATTCTGGGGGGCCACAGCGGGCAGCCAGGACCCACCTTCCTGGGAGATCCTCTTCACCAGCATGTTCAGCTGGTCGACGAAGAACTTCTTCTCGCTCTTCATCAGGCGGGTGAAGCAGACGCGGAGGGCGGCTGAGACGCCGCGGGGGTCATCGCTCCCACTGCGCTCCAGCTGCTCCGCCGCCACCTCCCCGATCAGTGCCCGCAGCTCAGGGACGGCTGCCAGGGTGGCCAGCCCAAGTCAGCCCCAGTGGCCACCACCACGGGGAGCCCAGCATCCCCATCCATCCCAAGGTATCACTGCCACCGTCCCCACCCCAAACCCGCCATGGGGAGGGAAGGTGGCATCGGGCTGTGACCTCGTGACCACCCTCCCATGCCATCCTTACTCTGGAGGAAGGAGACGATCTCCTCCACTGGCCGAAAGCCGCACAAGCCCTCGAAGGGGGTGAGAGCGATGGCCATTTCGGGCTTGTGGTTGGTGTCGGGGTAGTGCTCGGGGAACTGCGCGTGCAGCTTCGCTGCCAGCTCCTGGAGAGGGGGACAGAGGAGTTGGATGACCTCCACAGGGATGTGGGGTCTGTCCGGGGCTGCCTCCCCCCCCCCCCCCCGGGGTTCTCCTTACCTTGTTGGGGTGCGCCTGGATGGAGAGGGCTGTGTTGACCGACAGCACCTTGAAGAGGAAGGGCAGGCAGCCCTGGAAGGCGTCCTTCACCTTCGCCCCCAGGCAGACAGGGTTGTCGGCGATCCACTGGCCCAGGGTCTTTTGGGGGATGCGGTTATCCCGGATGACGGCATCGCCCCGGGGATGCGCGCCCATCCAGAGCTGTGGGAGACAGACAGACAGACCGACCCCTGAGCCGGCCAGCTAACGGGATGACTTGGGCTTTTCTGGAGGTTCTTTGGCCCCGGAGGCGGTCAGTGCAGCCAAGGCAGCTCCCTCGGGGGCTGAGTCACGCCGGGCTTCTCCTCTCCTCCCTGCCGGGGCTACTGGGCAGGGGAGCTGCAGACGGTTGGGACAGACAGATGGATGGGCTGGGACAAACGCAGGGCCAGACACTCACCTCTGCATAGGGCCGGTCGGGCTGGATCTGGACCAGGGGGTCACTGCTGGCCAGCAGCTTGGCCACCTCGCTCTCCAGGCCCATCTTGCCCCAGGAGTAGCTCTGCACGGCACAGGAGAGGGGGAACACTGTGGGAGGGAAGGCAAGCATTAGGGGGGGACACAGAAATAACCTCCTGCCCCCCAAAAACCCTCCCAGGCGGTGGGGGTCGGGAGCCGGGCAGCCCCAAGCCCCCTGGTGCAGGGCAAGCGGGGCCCAGGGCAGGCTGGGGACCGAGGGCTTTGGGAGGGAGGGGTGTTTTGGGGGGAGGCAGTTTGGAATCATCATATAGGGGCTGGGGGCGTCTCCGGGCTGCGGATGGGGATCCCGGTGCTTCTGCCCCAGTACCCTGGGGGTCCCCGGCGGGGGGTGTGTC